GCTTCTGTCCATTAGAGAAGGATGCTTTCAATCATTTTCTGAATGCTATAAGAATGAGTATGTAATGAGCTTCTGTCCATTTGAGAAGGATGCTTTCAATCATTTTCTGAATGCTATAAGAATGAGTATGTAATGAGCTTCTGTTCATCAGAGAAGGATGCTTTCAATCATTTTCTGAATGCTATAAGAATGAGTATGTAATGAGCTTCTGTCCATTAGATAAGGATGCTTTCAATCATTTTCTGAATGCTACAAGAATGAGTATGTAATGAGCTTCTGTCCATCAGAGAAGGATGCTTTCAATCAGTTTCTGAATGTTATAAGAATGAGTATGTAATGAGCTTCTGTCCATTAGAGAAGGATGCGTTCAAATATTTTCTGAATGCTTTAAGAATGAGTATGTAATGAGCTTCTGTCCATTAGAGAAGGATGCGTTCAATCATTTTCTGAATGCTATAAGAATGAGTATGTAATGAGCTTCTGTCCATTAGAGAAGGATGCTTTCAATCATTTTCTGAATGCTATAAGAATGAGTATGTAATGAGCTTCTGTCCATTAGAGAAGGATGCGTTCAATCATTTTCTGAATGCTATAAGAATGAGTATGTAATGAGCTTCTGTCCATTTGAGAAGGATGCTTTCAATCATTTTCTGAATGCTTTAAGAATGAGTATGTAATGAGCTTCTGTCCATTAGAGAAGGATGCTTTCAATCATTTTCTGAATGCTATAAGAATGAGTATGTAATGAGCTTCTGTCCATCAGAGAAGGATGCTTTCAATCATTTTCTGAATGCTATAAGAATGAGTATGTAATGAGCTTCTGTCCATCAGAGAAGGATGCTTTCAATCATTTTCTGAATGCTATAAGAATGAGTATGTAATGAGCTTCTGTCCATTAGATAAGGATGCTTTCAATCATTTTCTGAATGCTACAAGAATGAGTATGTAATGAGCTTCTGTCCATCGGAGAAGGATGCTTTCAATCAGTTTCTGAATGTTATAAGAATGAGTATGTAATGAGCTTCTGCCCATTAGAGAAGGATGCGTTCAAATATTTTCTGAATGCTTTAAGAATGAGTATGTAATGAGCTTCTGTCCATTAGAGAAGGATGCGTTCAATCATTTTCTGAATGCTATAAGAATGAGTATGTAATGAGCTTCTGTCCATTAGAGAAGGATGCTTTCAATCATTTTCTGAATCCTATAAGAATGAGTATGTAATGAGCTCCTGTCCATTAGAGGGGGATATATTTTTTTAAGCTTCTACCAAGACCATGTGAACATATCTTCTGTCCACAAGAGTGAGGTGTAATCAATACATTTCAACTGAAGTAGAAATATTTTCTTCTCTTTACCAGCCAGAAGAAGGTACATGTGCTTCAGCTGGATGTATGTCACGTACAGGAAAGTATTCATCCACATTCCAATATTTTTGTAGACATATCATTATAATTGAAACTATGATCCCTTTATATTCCTTAAAACTACTTAAACAATGACAAAATTAAGTCATCTTGTCCTTATCATCAACCTGGATAAACTAACCTGCAGGTATTCAAGGCATTGAAAGTAAGTCAAGTGTACAATTCATTGAAAATTTCTAAGCACAGACTTGCTGAAGAAATGGTTTATGGCACGTCAAACCAACTGTCACGACAGGAGTCGCGATCCCACAGATAGCCTCAGTTTCAATTCAAGCATTAACAATAAGAAACTGTTACAATCATTGGGAGTACTCCCTCCTATTCAACTTTGAAATTAATAACAATCTGTGGGGTGGCAGGTTTCAGATTGCACCAGGTAAAGTGGTGATAGATAACGGAGACATCTTCAATAGAGAGGATACAATAACGGATCATCGCAATAATTACCAAGTGGTTTGCCCAAACTTGCTGATCTCAAGCTGTAATCCAAGCTAGCGTGTAAATGTTATGTTGCAAATCATGGAGGCAGTCACTAGAACAACAATAGAGAGTTGGGTATTGGCCGATAGTTGTAATGATGGAAAAATATACCTTGACGAGTACTCAACCAGACCACAAATAATATTGTTACTTTCCAGAATAAAGTGTGGAATGATGACAATCTTATTTTATTAACTACAAAATACTTTCATATGTTGTGTTTTGTTTGTAAACCCATCATTTAAGAAAAGGAGAGTGAGGGTGTATGTTATATATAATGAATATGCAGTGTTAACTGTTCAGCTTTTCAATGCATAATTGTAACATTTGGGAAAAGGAAAGACATTTGAGAGGAAATGTATCTGTGAGATATGATATCAGCTTATGCAGCATAGTCTTGATACAAATATTTAATCAAAAGATATAAGAAGAGGAGAGAGGCCCGTGGTGATTTTCTGATGTGAAAAGTAAATAAACTGTGAAAGGTCCCCCTCATGATTGAGATTATAACCAAGTTATTATGCACCATATAAAAATGTTAAGTCTATAGGAGAAGCTTAGTATCAATGTGTAATTTGTGTCAAATGAACACAAGCACACCGCTCTGTTATTCATACAGTTACCGTATATATTTAATAAAGCAGAGCATACCCAGTAAGAACAATTAATGAAGTGTACATGAAATTAACTTAATGATATTACTCTACATCTGAGTTTTGTATCATGGAGACATGTTCATCTGAACTTTAGAAACGTGAATCCTTCAAAATGATCTTGCTTCAAATAATGAACTGACAGTAATGCTATAGTAATAAGGTAAACTCTCAATCTTACTACAACAAGTCAACATTACCAATGAAGTGTTTGAAATATTCATACAATACTCAGCAAGTAAGAGAGGTGAAAGATAAGCTACAACGTGTATCATCAAAGCAAAACTGTAGAGCAAGTGGCAATACCTGTAAGTAGAACTATGTTCTCTCTAATAATATGTTTAAGGTACCACTGAACTCAATATTGCTAGACAACATTATGACATCTTATTTTAGGTGTACATGTAATTTCAAAGCTCTGCACAATAATTTATTCAGCTATCATGCTTGTCATACTCTGCAAGCATGCCTTTTTCATATTGGCTATTTCTCAGCTCTCTTACTGTTGCTCCAGCTGTATGCTATGTAGAGACACACTTGCTGATACCCATGCTTGGACAACTCATGTTAGAAAGCAAAACAAGGTTAGAAATGACAGCACAACTATCTTATGATATGATATAGTGACTGCAGTTTCATACAGCCAGTGCTCAAGTGGACACACATATGTGTATATTTCTCAAGACAGCATATGTCACAAAACATGCATGGGGCTTGAAGTGGGTTTACGTCTTTGTAGATGTAATTCCAGTTTGTCTTCAGGATGTAGAATCTTCATTTTCATACTAGAGACACCATTTTACAATGCATATTATTATTTAAGTTTACAACCATTTCAAGAATTTGTTGGAGTGTTTTGAATCACCTGAATGGAAATACTAAATGTTTACATTATTGTTTATGAAGATTAACAACAATTTGACCTGTTTAAAGATGAAGTTTCAAACTTTTCCTATAAAATTAACCAACAAAACATGTACATACTGAATACATGCTGTTCAATAAACAGATTTCAGTTACTTATTGCTATATTGATTTATGTTGTTTTTGAGAAGAGGGTTGGCTGTCATTGATTGTATAATGACATAACGAGGCTGTCAGTACAGTGTATCGTGTTAGTAGCAATGCTGCTGGTGATGGTTGCATGTGGAATCCCACTTGTCTTACTGTCCTCCGTATCATCCACACTGGACCATGTCTCCTACAGCAGCTTCATTTCATAGCATTATTCCACTGATACATGGCTGACTGCATCAAAAAGGAAATGAAGTATTAACTGTTTGAGAAATAATCTCACCTGAAGCCATTATCCTACAAATGAATCAAAAACCATAGAAGCTGTAACAAATACTACTGTGCAGTTCTTTGAGATTATTTGCATTTTCAGGACTGCGTAAATGACTTGTTTGCAAGTAGTATTCTTCAAACCAAGCTAATCTTAGCAGTTTTAAATTTTCTGAGAACTAATGTGAGCACAATGACATATGAGTGATGTATCTATAAATTCCCCCAAATGAGGCAAGTATGGTTAATAAATCAGGATGCATATGCCATACAAGAATATAACTTGATTGTAGGTAGGATTGAAAAAGTTACTTTATGAAAATACATTGTTTTTTTATCTGTCAGCCACAATGGTTTCATCTCAAGTTTAAAAGGTGATCACTTCATGACAACATGACATCCCATACTGCACAATTCAGAAAAAGTTTATCATCATATAACAAAAGCCCATTCAGAAATTACATTTTGGGGCCTGATTTGTTCAAAAGCCTACACAACATGGTTAGCATGACCTCCACTCAATGGCATTTTCTACATCTATTAATACCTTACAGGCTGACATTGTGCACACATATGTGCTCTTGTAAGACATTTGTTCCAATGTCAACATTGAAGACATCTTTATAGATTGGAAAAAAATATAAGAATGGTCACAATATGTTTGAATTTATGAATATTGTTTTGTCTGCATGGTAACAAAAGCTACTGGTTGAATAGAGCTGTAAAGCCTTCATGATCTAGCTATTCACATGGAACAGGACCTTCCAGGATTGTCAAGCTTCTCAAGAGAAGAAAATAACATCAGTATACATACTAAAATGTACTCTTTACTCTGTTATTGATGTTAACATTAGAAGATAATGCATGCATGTTGCTAAAACAGTAACAAAATAGACTAAACTATATTTAAAGAATGCCCATATATGTGTTCATCTGATCCAGTAAAATATTGAATTCAGGTTAATATGCTTTTCCTCTACATTTTTGTTGTATAATAGTTAGTTTTATGTGTAACAATTTCTGAAGTGGTTATAAATGTACACTATCATCTCACAATGAAAACAATATGAGAAGTGATAGCATCTTGGATTATGGTGTCATCTTATTCCAGACTAAAGAAATATTTTCGCTTTAGTAGTTGCGGCTTTAAAGAAAACGGTTTCCATTGATCGGCAGTTTGCCCTTCTGTTAGAGCTTGTACACTGAGAACAATGTTTTAATATACAGTTACACCAGTGGCTTTCTTGTTTGTTCATGCACGTCGCCTCTTTGCGGGTCATCAGTTGGTCCCAACAGAAGTGGTTACAGTATAAATCCCTTCCCTAACGGTTTCTAAAACCAGATAGGTATACACATCACGACACTTTTGACACTCTTCCCTGTCTTAAAGCGTGGGAAACATTGTCTTACTTGCCATATTTTTATGGTTGAGCTCTCTAAGGTGTTAAATTAACTTCTCACATAGAAGGGACCTACTTCTCTTTGAGAAGAGACATTCACAATGAAAATTGTTTGCTTCTCGGAAAGTGGTGAAACAGAATATTGTGAACCTTCTGACAGTCCATGTGAGTAAATTCTGTTATCTTTTTTCCCTTGTTGTTTTGTATTTGCTGATTTTGTCACATTCTGATTGTTTAGTCTACAACACCAATGATGAGATAATTTCTGTAATTTTCCCCCTTAAACATTAACAAAATGTTTCCATGTAATGTCATTTTCTCTCGAGCTATGTATGTTACTGCCATGAACAACTTCAAAACAATATCACAATAGTATATGGTGTGTAAGTGTGTCCGTGTTTTCTTGAATTGACATGGTACATCTCACAAGTTTCACCTGAGTCCATAACCTTTATAGTAATTGGTGTGTCAGTGTTTTCTTGAATTGACATGGTACATCTCACAAGTTTCACCTGAGTCCATAACATTTATAGTAATTTGTATGTCAGTGTTTTCTTGAATTGACATGGTACATCTCACAAGTTTCACCTGAGTCCATAACCTTTATAGTAATTTGTGTGTCTGTGTTTTCTTGAATGGACATGGTACATCTCAAAAGTTTCACCTGAGTCCATAACCTTTATAGTAATTTGTGTGTCTGTGTTTTCTTGAATTGACATGGTACATCTCACAAGTTTCACCTGAGTCCATAACCTTTATAGTAATTTGTGTGTCTGTGTTTTCTTGAATGGACATGGTACATATCACATGTTTCACCTGAGTCCATAACCTTTATAGTAATTGGTGTGTCAGTGTGTTCTTGAATGGACATGGTACATCTCACAAGTTTCACCTGAGTCCATAACATTTATAGTAATTTGTGTGTCTGTGTTTTCTTGAATGGACATGGTACATGTCACATGTTTCACCTGAGTCCATAACCTTTATAGTAATTTGTGTGTCTGTGTTTTCTTGAATGGACATGGTACATCTCACAAGTTTCACCTGAGTCCATAACATTTATAGTAATTTGTGTGTCTGTGTTTTCTTGAATGGACATGGTACATATCACATGTTTCACCTGAGTCCATAACCTTTATAGTAATTTGTACATTTGTAGTTATAGTACATATCACAAGATTCACATGTGTTGAACAAAACTCTATCTAGCATGAAGTACACTATATCTGCTCAGAAAATGTATCTATGCATTAATAGAAAAAGCAAAATCTTGTATCTTCAGCATGTTCATATCACTGTCTAAAGTCATGGATGTGAAAAATATACTGGTCAGCATAGGTGTAACCATTCTTTTACAAGGTCAATAAAAACATGTTTGTATAGATTCTCTCAGAACAACAAATTTTCAACATCAAGTTCACTGACAAAAGGCACTTAAATTGGGAAAAAATTGCTTTTACTGGTTCTAAATCCTTTGCTTTAAGCGTAGAAACATGAACTGGTTTACATTGATCTTGTTAAAAGTGTTCCGTGAAAACTAGTGATTATATTACTGTGTAAAGGTATAGACAGATTATGTCTTTGTGGGAGAATATGAGAGCAGATACCCAGAAGAATCTCTAGTTTGTCCTTTCAATGTGAGTTGGCAGAGGTGTTCCACTCGATTAACTTTCTCTTTTCCACTGTAAGCATTATTAAAGGGGCTGGAGGTAGAAGGGCAGAGACTGTGGAATTGATGAGGAGGGGACCAAGGCACTGATCCCTGAGGGCGAGCCTGCTTGTAGACAGCCTACTGCAGGAAGAACTTGCTTATTGTCCTGTTGAGTGGTTACTGTGTATCCTAAACTGAGGAAGAGCTAAGTCACTGACTAGCTAGAGCTAACAGGCAGTCGGGTGTGTGTGGGTAGAGATAACAGTGAGAGAGAGAGAGAGAGAATCGTGTTGGGGCACTCAGACTGTTTAATGCAGTGGACAGTGCACCATGATAGACACCATAGGCTCCTCTCCACCAAACGCAGTAGCTCACTCCCTTCAAGGTAATAAACACTGCTTCTTTTATAGTTAATATAAGTATTATTCTTTAACTAAGTAACTATTAATAAAAGCATTTTCTTATTATGTGGAATATGTAATAATGTCAACAGTTTAGTCATGATATGATTTTGGTTTCATTTTCATATGTGAACATATCAATGCTTTGTCATTTTTACATTTCTAATTGGAGTCTTATTATGAAAATTTCTAGTATAATTCGATTCTTCTGTTGTTGTTTATCTAATGTATTGAGGCAGAAGATATAAACTCATTATTCAATAGAAGCCGGAATATGACTGAAGATATTACAACAGTGGTAAATTCAACTCACCCACTTTGTTCTATCAAACTGTGATTTGCAGATGTTATATTGATAAATACTTTGTTGTGAAAATATTCACTGAAGGCACACCAATAATAAAACCATTGAGGCAATAAAAGTAAAACTAGGAAAATTCATTGTTTTCATTTCTTTAAATGTTGGCTATGAAAGGTAGTGGTGTATTTATTTGATACATATTTCTGTTTATGCAAACATATATCTACTAAATTACAATAACTTAACAACTTTTATCCAATAGTTATATTTTCTTCTAATGTATCAGTAAAGAGTGAAATGAATTGTGATAATTGATTTTATCCACAGTTAAGCTTGAAACTAAAAGGTGATGTTAAGAATTGTTGTCCGAATAAATGTTCTCATTACTTTTCATGAAAACTTACTTTTTCTTGTTTATTTATTGGCAGTTCAGCTTTCCTCCACAAAATATAAGGTATTGTTTCCCAAACACTCAAGTTTACTGTGCATTACTCACTGATGCCTACTTGAAGTTATCAATCATATTCAATGATTGCAATAATTCATACATTTCTCAAACGATATCTACATGTCATAAGGTATATGTACAAAACACCCAAGTGTATACGTAGTACTGCAAAGTTATATATTATCTCCGTTTTTGTGTAGAGAATCATTTGTGCTCTAACATTTTACTTCAGTTACTGTTGCATAGTTTCCTGTAGAATGATAGAATTCATTTCTTCATAGGAATATTTGTTTCATTCTAATTTTGAAACAATATTTACACAATCCTACCCTATTCCTGGCCACTTTACCCGATATCTTAGATGATTGTGTATATGTTTGACCATTACCAGAGTACTATAGATCATATATTGAAACACTGGGAAACCTCATCAGAGATATTCTGAGATGTTTGAATTAAGATGAAGATATTGCCATTTGAAAAATATAGAAAAGTTATTGATCTAAGAATGTCAAAGTTATGTCTGTCGCTTATGATCAGTAATAAATATTACATGGATCAGACATTGGAAAGCTTATGTGGCTTATACTAAAAGATCCCATGTCCTTTCTTAAAAATGAATTAAACTGAAAAAATTGTATCACTCAATATGTGTTTCTTAGAGTAAACAAACAAAGTTGAATATTATCATACAACATCATGAACCATTTATGTACATCTTGACATGAGTTTTATGTGTGGAGTAACATCAACATTTCAACATGTGACCACAAGGGAAGATCAATTTCAGTGTTGATATAACCAATCACTGCATGTGATCATACCCCAAATGTGCTCTCTAGTTGTTTTATTACTAAAACATTAATGATTATAAAGTAAAATACCATTCATCCATTCATTCACTCTCAAAAGGCAATCCAAAGTCTCTTCTTATGATAAATTCAAGATATATCAATAGTTATTTTTACACAACTTTATATTTTGTAAAGTAGAAAATCATTATGTTAAAAAGTAAGAAACATTTTGAGAGCTATCTTCCTGAAAGTTTATTGAAGAAGGCTATCTGTTGATAGGAATTATTTATCTAACTGATATGCTGGCAGACTGAGTCTATCTGGAAAGACGGCTTCACAACTTTTAGGCAGGAAATGGTGCTGTGAGCCTATCAAGCTAATCAAAATATTATCCTATGAGGTTTAGTATTTCTCTTTATATGGTGAATAGATTGTATGATCCCAGTGTATTCACCTGCTGATTAACACTTGCAACTCATGCCATATATCACTGAAATATGATATGATATATTTCAAATTTTCAGATGACTTGAAACCAATGTAGTATAAGATAGGCAATATCTCATGTCAGTGTGATTCAAGGATAGATCATTTACTTTTGTAGAAAACATAGCAGGTCATCTGAACAGGATTAGGGCAAATTCAGTACCCATTTGATAGGTTGAAACTTGACTGTGTGGTAGACAGGTGTAAGTGTGGTCTGATTGGGAGGGTAGAAGGGAGGAGTTTTAGGTTTTGTCATCATTAATGACCCCATCAAGCTGATAACTACGCACTGACTGTCCTAAACCAGCTGTAGATCTCCATTCATTCATTGTCTCAATGCAACACTCGGCCCCAGCTACACATTGTCAATAAGTTTGGCTACTGTTACAGCTTGTCAATATCTCACTAGATTTACTTCAACAAGAATGTCCCCTACAAAGCTAGTGTCTCTAACAAGTTTGACACACATGCATATTTACCCAAAAGTGAGCATTACTAAGCTGAATATCTTTTGAAGAGTTTGTAATTATCATAAGATTGGATATCATGAGTATAGCTGAGAAATTTGGCATGTCTTATCATGTGGTGCTTGGACACCTGATAGGCAGACATTTATTAATGTTATATAGAACTACAATCTCCTTTACATGAAATACTGATACATCATTGGTACATTGATTCCAACATATCATGTGAGTGGTAGATGAGTTGGAGTGTGCTCAGCCCACTGCTGGTGCTGGTGTTTAGTTGGAAGTGACAGGCAGTGGCCACATCTTTCACCACTCCTCGGGGAGATTTTTCGTCTCAGGTAGGACACACATTACTTGCTACTCTATACTTCAACACATATTCAAATATTTTATCGAAACACAAACTCCTACTTTACACTTCTGTAAAATGACTGACATGGTTTAAAATTAAATGATGGAAACCCATTCCATACCCACACAACTATAAAGTTACACTCACATATTCAGAGCAATGTTTTATTTATGATAGAATGTCATGTTGGAAAACTCGATTTGTAAGATGATCTTTGGTTTGATAGGGTACATCACAGCTCAAGGAAGCATCAACAACACCA